GGGGCCGACTCGACGGCAAATAACAAGAACAATAACAAAGGCCAAATGTTGAGACTGAAAATAATCTAAACCAACAGTTCTCACTTGGGGTGATTTTACTTCGTGGAGACATTTGGCAATTTCTGGAGACATTTTTGGTTGTTACAACCTGGGGAGGAATTGCTATTGTGGGTAAATATCCTACAAACCATAGAACTACCTTTTCAATGTAAACAATTATCCAGGCAGATATTGCCTCACTACTTTATAGAAAGAAATTAAGTTATAAGCACTGAAACAGGTAAGTTATTACCAAAGGCTAATATCAATTTGAGATATCTACTAGAACTAAAGAAGTAACTATTACCTGAAAGAACAAATCTGTCCTGGAAGAAGTGTAGCCAAGAATGCTCCTTAGAAGCGAGAATGGCCATACTTGGTCTCACCTCCTTTGTCATGTTTTGTCAGAAGGGACCAGTCCCTAGAGAAAGATACCGTGCTTAGTAAAGTAAAGGGTTAGCAAAAAAGTGGAAGACTCTCAATGAGATGTATTGACCACAGTGGCTGCAATGATGGGCTGAAGCATGGAACTGTCAGTGAGTGTGACAGAGGACTGAACAGTGTTTCGTTCTGTTGTGCATAGTGTTGCTATGAGTCATAGCTGACTTGATTGCACCTAACAATGCTAGTTACCTAATTACACAAATTCTTGAGAAATTAGGAAGAGAGTGAAATTTTATATATGAACTTAACTTAAATTTTAGTATATTTTATTTAGGCTTCCTGATGGATTTTCTCAGCTATTAAACCTAACGCAGTTATATTTGAATGATGCTTTCCTTGAGTTCTTGCCAGCTAATTTTGGCAGGTAAGTTATGGTTTCTTCTAAAACTTCTTGTAAAATTTACAGAAATACAAGTTACTTTAGTCATACTATTAATTACAGTTTCTTAGATTCTTCTTTTGTAGTTATTTCTAAGCATTATGTTTTTTGTAGGTTTCTTTTGCCACTGTTATTTTGACTTCAAGTTTATTTCCCCAAGTAAACAATAAGCAATGAGAGTTAAAAGAAAAAACAATTTTAGACTTGAGTTGATTTTTAAGGAACACAAAAATAGAATGGGATAATTTCTGTATATTTATGATATTTAATACTTTATTCTTAACATTTATCACTATCCAAAATTATCTAATATACTAGTTTATGTGTCTTCCACACTAGAAAAAAAAATTCTCAAGAAAAGAAAATCTGTTTCTGGGGAGTCACTCCCTACCATTATCAGCAGCACCTAGAGAAGTTCCTGTCATATTATAGTTCCTCCACTACTGTTGTTTGAGATGAATAGATGAAAAGAAATGAGTAATAGATATCAAATTAATATGGAATTCAGATTAATTACCAGGGGAAAGAAGTGCTACTCAATTTCCTGTTAATTTTTGTAATCATCTTTTGTCTAAAAATAATTAGGGTACTGGTCAGATTATGACATTTGGATCACTTAATCTCCTTATTTTCTATTTTTAGTGGCATGTACTAAAGTACTAGAGGATTTCACCTTTTCCATGTTCCTTTGTTTCTTTTTTTGATTCCTTCTTAGAGCAGAACTATTTTAGAGTGTGACATTAATTTGTAAATTAAATTCTTTGCCATAGTTGTTTATTTTTTTGTTTTGCAGGCTAACTAAACTCCAAATATTAGAACTTAGAGAAAATCAGTTGAAAATGTTGCCAAAGTAAGTAAAGATCTATCCTTTTAAAAACTCAATATAGTATTTCATTAAGGATTTAAAAATTCTAAATTTTTTTTCATATAAATGATAGTATAAGTTATTTCAAAATAGTCACCAGTTTGTGGTCATCATATTTTAATTAATGGTGTTTAATATAAAAATCCATGTATCTGTGATTGGTGTTTAATGGAGTACCATGTCAATAGTAGTTTCTTAGCTCTCTGGAACATGGTCTCCTGAGACAAAAAAGAAAAAGAATAAGTATGTAAGGCGTACTTGAATCCCACATAGGGGTCCCAAATTCATGTAGTAGAACTAAAGTACATTACTCATTAGAGAGATCCATGAGTCACGATAATTATAATTCTAAGAACTTGATTATCTGGTTTATTAGTTCTTCGTAAATTAGAAATGGAATGGAGGGCCTTGTACAGGTAAGTAAGGAAGAGAGTAAAACTAAAAGAAAAGGAACTGCAAAGTCAAAATAGGAGCTCTGGTGGTGTAATGCCTAAAGTACTTGACTGCTAATGAGAAGGCTGGTGGTTCAAACCCACTGGCCACTCCTCAGAAGGAAGATGGGGCAATCTCCTTCCATAGTGAATACTGCCTTGGAAACCCAAGGTGGGGTTGCTATGAGTCAAAATTGACTTGATGGCATATTACAACAATAACAACACAAAGTCAAAATGCCCTGTGGTCTATGGTGTTTTACTGAACAGATATTTCAGAACCAGTTGAATACGTTCCTGTGTTGTTACCATTTAGGTGTTGACAAATGACTTAATTTGTCCCACTGCCTGTTTTTATAAATGAAGCTTCATTGGAACACAGCCATGCTTATTTGCTTACTTTTTGTTTATGGCTGCTTTTGGTCTACAAAATAGAATTGGATAGTTGTGACAGAGACTTTATGACCCACTAAAGTAGCATAGTGGCTAAGGCACTTGACTGCTAACCAGAAGGCTGGCAGTTCAA